GTATGAAAAATATCTATAATGACTACTTAAGGTGGCATGAAATCAATGCGTAATTATTGTACAAATAAAATGAATAGAAAAGGCAAAAATGTCAGACACTAAAAATATGATGTAGACAATACTGGCCCTAATACTGAGGATAGATGATGATAACGCTAATTTGGTCACGACAAATGGGTGTATAACTGAAACCTGGCCGGCTGTATTTACAATAATTATTGTATTATTCAATTGCAGGGCTACCTTATGCATTCGGAATAGTAACCTCTGCGAATTCATTTGCACTGGTAATGGAGTTCTACGGCATAAATGGTAAAACCGTGACTATTGCAGACGCAGCGAAAGAGAATCTTCTAATCAATCAAAAACAGTGGGCTATAGCATTGTTACATTGCTCTCAAGCAATTTCGCATTTGCACAAAAATCAATATTTGCATTGCGACTTRAAGGGGGACAACATTGTTTTCAATGACGTAGATGGAACATTTTTTCCAGTTATTGTCGATTTTGGAAAAATGAAAAAAATTGCAGATGTCAAAAGATATAAGCTAACCGTTCTAGAGAAACAGTTATGTGAAAAGATAAATTTAACACCGTAAAAAAGTATGTGGAAAAACTTACTAGAGAAAGAAATTTCTTTCTAGAGAAAGAAATGTACCGACAAAACCATAGACACACTGCTCCAGAAGTAGTTAGAGGGGTCAGCGCACCTTCTCAAGCGAGCGATATATATGCATTCGGTCTCATAATTTCACTTGTTTGTTATCATAATAAAGGCTTTGAAAAATTGCGCCAAATAGCTGTACAGTGTATCCACGGAACGCCTCACAGAAGGCCTAGTATTGAACRAATAATAACCAATTTGGAATTATGTTAATCATGTTAATTTTGAGATGCTAGCTATAAATATACCCTTGTATCTACTTATCCAATGATGATTAAAAAATGATTTTGGAGGTAGGCTAAGGGCCTGCCACTTTTTGTTTTTCTTATTTCTTGGGAACCGCGATTATCCGGACTTACCCGGACATAGCAAAAAGGAACGGAAAATCGACAGTCTTAGATGTTTGTGTTATTGGAAAAAAAAAACAAACAAACAAACAAACAAAGCAAAACAAAAAAACAAACAAACTTTGCAGACGTAAGCTTATTGGCTCAAATTTCAGAGATACATACTAATTTATACTAATCAGAGGTTGAATTTTGATTTTTTTAATGATATGGACCAACGTAGAATTTTTTTTCTAATTCGTTTAGCAGGTATCTGTGTATCTGGAAAGTTTTGAGAACGGTGAACCACTTATAATAGTATTTTTAAAATTGTTTGTCCTCTTATCAAGGGAGCGTCAAAACCTAAGCAAATTCAACATTTGCTTCAAGTTTGCACATATTTGTCCATTGGGTAAATTATTTCCCTTGTTACAAGTTTGTTTATATGAGCAAATTAGGTGCAAACATAATTCCCAAAATTTGCTCTAGATTTGCTACATGCAAATGCGGAAAATGATCAAACATTGGCCAAGATTTGCTTACTGTAAACTTGAACGTTTGCGCTATATTTGTCTGATAAACAATTTGATAGCAAATGCATTACATGTTTGCCACGTTGGTCAAATAAAGGTCAAATAGTAAGCAAAAAATTATTTTTGAGCAATTATCAAATATGCGACAAAACGTAAGCAAATGTTACATKTGAGTCAATTTTGCACATATTTGTCCATTGGGTAAATTATTTCCCTTGTCACAAGTTTATTTATATGAGCAAATTAKGAGCAAATATAGTGTTCGAAATTTGCTACAATTTTGCTACCCTTGTAAATACGTTTTTTCGTCCAGTGAAAGTAACTAAATAGCTTTAAAAACGGATAGGCACACGAAAAGACATGATAACATACCCAACAGTACAAGTACAGTAAGTATAAACAGGCTTATTCGTATTATTTTCCAGAACTAAATACATGACTTTACTCTCTTCATTATCTGTCGAAAACGAAGGATTACAGCTTGCTCTAGCCGCCCATACATTCTTGTGAATCAGTAGCAAATGGATTCTAGAACAAAGTAAATGATGTTGTAGGATTTTGATTTGAATGAAGCAAATATTTGTAAACTTACTTGACTGAGTGAATGCCTTGCTTGTGCTCCCAAGCACGAAGGGTTTTAYACTTTCGAACTGCTTGTTGATTATAGCCCGCTCCGAGTAAAAATTCTTTAACAACGGCTTCTTCCATGACAAGAGGAACATCTTTTAGGCTTTTCTGCCAATCCTTGAGTTTCTGAAGCTCCACAAGTGATGGCACATCACTACAAGAAGTCGACGAAGTCTTTTGATCGCCTCCATTAAGTCCAGAAGTTGAAATGTTTAAAGCACAACATACGATATTGAGAAGTGCTTTTGTTCCTATTGACTCTTCGTAATCAATAGACAAAGAGTTGCAAATGTGTTTTAGTGTCGGTTTTGTTAATTTAGAAGCTTCTTTAAAGGTTTTTGKCAGCTTTAAAGACGTGTCTTTTTTGACAGATGACGACGCCATTTTGTTTACATCGGTAACCCCCCACGTCGCAAAGCATTATGGGTTGGCGAAAGACGAGAATACAAAATACAACGTACTTGAAACTGTTYACATTGATGCTATATGTGATATAACGTAATTGAAAGCATTTACATCGACATTATATGTAATGCACTTACATCGACGTCATGAAAATAAAACTAAAAGATGAGGAAGTGACGTCAAGCAAACGGAAGTGACGTTTGTTACCCAGGCTTTTCGCAGCCAAGAAGATGAAACAAAATGGCGGCGATTGGAGCCTCACGGTGGCTGCCAGATACAGATAGGTTTTTTACGGATTTTATGCAACTAGTAGAACGAGCACAACAGCAGTTAACAAGCAGCGACAATGTCGATTTCTTCATACTACCTTTAGATGAATATGAAAGAACTATAAGTGTTCTATGTCGAAGAATCGGAGAGTCATTCCCCCAAGAAACTGGTTTAGTAAACAACTTGCAACTTGTTTATGTCTCGAGCAGACTGAGAAACCGTTTTGAAATTCTTACATATGAAAGAGAAGCAATTTGTGATAATTCCCATGAGCCATGCCCTCGGCCTGTCGTAACCACAACGAGACGTGGACAAATAGGAAGACCAAGGGTACAGCTTACTCAGCAACAAATACGAATTCTTCACGAGGGAGGTGGATTTAGATGGGCTGACGTGGCAAGGATACTAGGTATATCCGAGAGGACACTTCGTCGACGAAGATATGAGTTTGGATTAACTGTCGGACGAGATGTGGATTTCAGTGATATATCAGACGATAACCTGGATAATCATGTCCGTGAAATACTGAGAACTACACCAAACTCTGGTCAACGTTTAATAGAAGGGGGACTAAGGCAGCGAGGGCTTTGTATTCAACGACGACACATACAAGATTCTATAAGAAGAGTAGACCCTGTAATTCGTACTCTGAGAGGTGCTAGATATATCATAAGAAGAGTTTATAACGTGCCTTGCCCAAATGCATTGTGGTAAGTATTGTAAATAAATTCTTGTATAGACTATGATCTTATTTTTTATTTTATTTTATTTTATTAGCTTCGCCAAGAATAACATCTGTAAATACATGAGTACATAACATAAATAAATAACATGCAAACACAATAATGAGAAAGTGGCAGGGACACCGCAACAGCAGAGCCAATTACAGCGGGCCCAAGGTAAAACGATTAAAARACAAGAACAATAAAATTACATACAGCAAGATATTCTTACGTTAAGGRGACGGGCAGAATCTTAGGATCATTTMTGTGATAGKTTTGGATCCTTCAGTTCAAAGAGTAGATTTAAAAGTTATAAAGTTCCCTTTGCTTGATGAAGAATTCACTCTGATGTGTTAGAATATTGTCTTTTGTTTGATTGAGAGAGAGACTGACAATGATTTTAATGTATGATAATAAGTTGTTAGTTTCTAAAGGCCCATTTTGTAGATTTGTATAGTTTACTTACATAAAAGGTTTTGGACAAAGCTTTGGACAATATTTTTTATCCAGGGAAGTACCTTCTGCACTTTTGTGAAGGTTGCATCTGAATTTCTTTTGTGTCATGTACTGTTGCTGTGTTCAAGGGAGGTAGATTTGATTGCAATTAATAAATAAATGTACTTTAATTTTTGCAATTTATAGGCATATTGATGGGAACCATAAACTCATAGAACCTTACAGAATCGTAATACATGGGGGAATAGATGGATACTCTAGATTGATTGTGTTTTTGCATCCTTCAACTAACAACAGAGCAACAACTGTACTTGATAAATTCCAGAAAGCAGTTCAACAGCATAACCTTCCATCAAGAGTGAGAAGTGACCTGGGAGGTGAAAACATAGAAGTAGCTCGATTAATGCTCAACTCTAGAGGAATAAACAGAGGAAGCCACATTACCGGCAGATCAGTCCACAATCAGAGGATTGAAAGGCTTTGGCGTGATGTTAATCGGGTTATTGTTAGTCGTTTTTTGAASATTTTTCTGTTCCTTGAACAGGAAATGATTTTTGATCCATCAGTTGAACTCCAYCTATACTGTTTGCATATTGCATATGTGCCTTTGATAAACAAAGCCATTGAAGACTTTGTTGGACAATGGAACAACCACCCAGTGTCTACAGAATGCAATCTCTCACCCAACCAATTGTGGATTTGGGGTATGTTGGATTCAAGGAACTCTACATATGTTGCTGTATCAGGAAGAACAAATAGATTTTGACAATTATGGTATTGATGACGATGGACCAGTACCTGAAGAAGAGGAATATGCTGTTGTAGTACCAAGTACTGACATACCCTTTACTCAGGATCAAGAAAGGCAACTACATGAAATTGTGGAGCAGATCATGGTCTCAGGAAGTGATAATGATGGAATTGTGTCTTTCCAAGTAGTTCTTGAAATGACTCAAACATTTCTAAATCGTATTTAGTAGCACAATAAGTTATAATAATGAATACATGTATGTCTCTATGCCACTTCAAATTAACAGTTTTTCATTATCTGTTCTATTTAGGTGAAATGGGTTTGACATCAAWAACATTTGTTCATGACTTATCATGAGAGCGCAGACAATGAAAATGATTATTTTCTAACATGATAACAAAGTAAGAAATACTAAAGAAATGTTASAAAATAATCATTTTCATTGTCTGCGCAACTGCTCAAAACTAAAAAGTGCTATTTAGTTAAATTTGTACAGATTTAAAACATTAAATACTGTTTTGCTGCAAGTCCACTTTTAGTTCAAATTAGTACTACTTAGATTTTGTACCGTTGCACGGTTTAAGTGCGTTCACTCTAGAGTGAATACACTTTTAAGATCCATGAAGCTTATGTACAACAATATAATATTAAATTATGCTAATCAACACTATTTAGTAGTAATTAGTAGTATTTGTTTCACGGATTTAGTGCGTTCACTCTACAATAGACTGCTTACACAAAATCAAACAAATAGTACTATTTACTACTACAGAATTAATGACCCTATGAATGATGTTCTCATTGACATGCACATGCAAACAAATTGATAAATATGTCTGACACTACTATGTGTTATTTGTATCAATTTTCACTAGTGAAAATAACACATTCGAGTTTTCTCTGTATAGTGGAAGTAAGAGAAAAAAGGTGTATTTTACGACATAATTTGCTTTCATATTTCACTACGCTCACTCGTACTCGTGAGACTGATATTTCCAACATTCGAAGATAAAATCCGTATCTCCGCGCGCCCATATGATATCGTCTATTTATTAGCCGTTATGTTTGATTTTCTCGGTTTTTATAGCTTTATGTTTAAATGTGTAAATATGCAGCGAAAAGATTTTCTAAACGATCGGTAATTTTTTATTGCAGACCGATTTCGCACATGAAAAAAAACATAGGGTTCCCACGAAACGACATAAGATTGTTAGATTTTAATATGGTATAAATAGTCATTTATGAATTGTATTGTAGGGAAATCAATCGAGTATTTTATTGCAAGAGCATGTCACATTGAATTGAGTTTACATTTATCAATGAAACTGTACACTTCCAACTGGCCTTCTCGCTCGTGGAAAAGGCCATTTTTTTCTTATTGAGTGGAGAGATTGAAATTCTTGTATTTGTTAGGACCGGCAAAGCATCTATTCAGCGTAAACATCCCATAATGAGAATACTTCATCACATGCACGTCAAAACTCGTTTATTTAATTTATATTTTTATAAGGCTATACTTGAACATAGACCACAGACTCATAGACCAATTCCTGTGCTAGTGCACTASTTCTTTTAGTATTCCTTTGGTATGGTGTCCTCCTGACGTAAAAGTATCAACGGGTACAATTGTCTTCGGAATAATAATTGAAGAAGGACCTCTCCCGCCTGTCGGTGTATACCCTAGGGCACCAAGCTTGGACCCTTTTTTCATCTAAATATGATAAACGATTTTAACCTGCATGTGTAGAAATATTCTTATTATGTATGACACGCATTTGTTTACGTCGAATAAAACTTTGCCGGACAAGAATTTCAATCTGTCCACTCAATCAGAAACGGACTGGCCTTATCCACAATCGAGAAGGACAGTTGGATAGTACAGTCCCATTCAAAAATGTAAGCTCAAGCACAATTTTGAATGTGACATACTGCTACTGGCAATAAAATTCACGATTGACTTCCCTTCAAGACAATATATAACATRACCATGTATACCATAAATGCTAAAGTCTGAAATTCTCATGTCGTTTGTGTGGGARCCCTGTGTTTTTCAGCTGTGTGAAATAGCTTCAATACAAAATTAGCGATCGTTTAGAATATCCCTTACAGAGAACGTAAATATTCTGTAAATATGTTTGAGACCTCATGTAAACTATAATCTTTAAATTGGCTATGTAAATTTGATTTAAACTTCGCATATTTATTCTAGGCCCCCTTTCCAACGAGCAATTCTTATTTTCACTCGCTAGCCAAACAGGACGATTCTAGGCCCCCTTGTCGAACGTACGATTGTCATTTTTACTCTCTAGCCAAAGGAAACTATTACCGGATGCATTGTCCAATGAAAAATTCTGATTGTCACTCACTAGTCAAAGGGGACTATTCTAGGCCCCCTTTCACTCGGCTGACAGGCGGCAGGTGTGGCACTTCACGCAGATAGACTTCAAAGTCAATGTCAAAAAATCCTCCAATGGAATTGCTCCTTGGTATGAAGGACCTATTATCCAGTCTGCTGGTACATACCTCAAGGCACCAAACTGGTACCATACCTTTTCATCACCATGATAAACGACTTTTGACGTGCATGTGTTGAAGTATTCTCATTATGCATGACACACAGTTTGTTTACGCCGAAGAATAACTTTGCCGGATTGAAAAAAAAAGAAATTTATCCACTTTTCCACGAGCGAGAAGGCCAGTTTGAAGTGTACAGTTTCATTGATAAATGTAAACTCAGTTCAATGTGACGTCACATACTCTGGCAATAACATTTCCGATTGACTTCCCTACAAGACAATATATATACCACAACTGCTCATATCTTATGTCGTTTTGTGGGAACCCTGTGTTTTTTAGCTGTTTTTCAGCACCAGAGTCGTCATCAAGATGGAAAACTCAAAAGAGCGCTTCTCCCCGCCATCAGTCAAAGAAAGGTAGAAACTGCTATAAAAGAAGACACCAGTACCACCTCAAGAGCGAGGGAAGTTGATAAACGAGTAACCAGTCGGACTTAAAGCAGCGATACTAACAGAGTCTTCCTGACTAAACTACAACTACTAGCATTGTAGCTCTAACTATTCGTATTATAATCTTATGCTGACATTGTTTGAAAACGAGACTCTATATATTACACACTTTGGTGTGCTTCCTCCCGATAATTCTTATGGTTACGGACATTTGAGCAGTCAAACAGAAAACGCGCACTAACGAACGTAGTTATTATGAGTTAATGCCATGTGAAGTTATCTGAGTAACTAAATCTCAATCCTATAGTTTAGTCGGTAGAGAGGGTCACGAGCACCCAAAAGATATACTCGGCTAAAATACATAAATATAATCTTTAGAAGGAGTACATTAAGGATATCAATGTTCCCAARTCAAACTCTTGTCCCWTGACCTTGAAAAACGGGGATGAAGTTTTGACACAAAAAGCACAGGGTACCCAATTCTTGTTTTTTWRAAAAATGCGTTTTAAGCTTCACAAAAATGTTGATATCCTACCTTTTTAATCTAGTCATCTTCAGTTACTTTAAAGCAACCTTTAAATTGGATTTCTAGTCATTGGTTTGAAAATATCGCATAATTTCCATCTGAATGACGAAAAAAATTGTTAAAATTGACCTTGAAATATATACATTCTTCAAAGTAAGCATTTTATCAAGAGTTTATTTTCTTGAATTATCTTTGTTTTCTTTTATCTTTAATGATCGAGTTTTCAAGTAGATTAAAATAAATAGAATTGAAAAGATGTGGTTTCCCTGTTGTTTAATGAGCTAAGAGACTGGCAACTAGTTTTTGAAGCCAGCCATTTTGATTTCTACATCACTAGTGCTGCTGTAAGTATGAGCGAAAAAGCATTTTCATTTTTGTGTATAAGTAATGAAACATGCCACCAAAAGTAAAAAAAACGTCAGTCATCTTCAGAAAAAGAAAGCTATGCAAAGTCAAGACGTGTGTCAGCTGTATCGTGTCTTTTACATGTGGAAAGCATCAACCATGGTGATTTCACTTCACTGAGCAATGTCAGAGGTTCTCCTGAGGAAAAATTGAAACAACTTAATGAAATACGGGCCAGACGTCTTAGCCAATCAGTAAATTCCCCATATCGTCTAGAAGATATATGCAACAGAATTCCAGAGAGTTTAGATGGGATAGATATTGAAAGCACAGGATTCCATCGAGGCTGTTATCAAAATTTTACAAAAAACCTTGACCGCCTTACTAACGAAGATGTTGCTCACGACGAAACAGAAACAAAACATCGTTCTCCTAGAAGACCCTCCCTTCATGAAAACACCTCAAAGTTTCCCAAAACATGTATCTTTTGTGAAAAACTAGAACATAAGCACAAAGGAAAAACTGAGCGGTGCACCAAATTTGCAGTTTTCAAAGAGAAAAATGTTACCTTGGAGCCAACATGGGCACAAGTAGAATCAAGGGCATTAGCTCTGGGAGACAACCGTCTATTCCGGTTGGTCCAAGGGCAAGACTTATTTGCCAGGGAAGCACAGTTCCATCCTTCCTGTCGCAAATCGTTCAATTTGAGATTCCTGAATTACCAGACAAGACGTACTAAAATTGAACTTGAAGGAAAATCTACTGCAACAGCAGATGAATGTAAATCGCTTGCTCACGAAAAAGCCTTCAATGTTGTCTTATCACATATTCAAGATCATGTCATTTCTCAAAAAGAAGTTCTTGAACTCTCCAAACTGCGATGTATTTACACAAAGGAACTAGAGAAGAACGGATTTGCAAATCATAATTTCAGGGGAGAAAAATTGAAGACGCGAATTCAAAATCATGAGATGGGCCAAGCTATTGCCTTTACTAATGTTCACTTAGATGGTGACGGTTGTATCACTCATAACCTCGTCTATAGTGCTGATATATCTGCTGCTGACGCTGTAGCTCATGCATATAAACTTGGCTCTGCAGATAACTACAAAGATGTTGCTCTTCAACTCCGAAGTCTTATTAACCAAGCATTTAAAAGGTCTATTCCCCTTCCTTGGCCGCCAATGGTAGATGACCTAGATGTTGATGTGGCCGATGATGTTTTACCAACAGATCTCAAGAAATTCCTCAACTTAGTCATTTCTGGAAAGTCGGATTCCGATTGTGAGAGAACAAATCGCATTGTTAGCTCTATTTGTCAGGTAAAGTAAGTTTTACAGGTTTTAGAATGTTGTGTCAAAGAACAATTCCCAATTGTTATGTATTTTAGGATATATGCCGGGCATCAACCAGTGGCGAATGGAAGTTACCCAAGCACATTCTCCTCTGCGCTACCATTCGCCATCTTTACCGAAGTAAACAGTTGACTACCATCATCAACAGGCTAGGTTTGTACACATTATTTTATTAATTAGAATGCGCACCATTTATTGAATTGGATTTTTGTATTCATTCCTTAGGTCACTGTGAAGGGTACGACTTTGGGTTGGAGCTGGAGACCGCCGTTGCGAAAGCCCTTGACGACGTCTCTACATACCTTAGCCCCCAGATCGTTACAGGGGAGGGAAATAGCGTGTTTCATCTTGAATGGGATAATATGAACAAAACGTTAACCAATATACATGGTTCCAATGTTGTAAATAGCACAGCCGGTATAATGATTCAAGAGGTAAAACCTGGTTTTGAGGACGAAAAAATGGACCGAACTCTCCCTCTCTTCAAGAGGGATATGGCACGATCTATGGAAGTTGAAACCCCTGAGACCCTTCCACCACTACATCTATACAATCGTGTGGGTCCAAAGCTACCTGATGGAGCACTGTTTGCTGCCCCACCCCAAAACTCTGCTATGTTTGTTAAATGTCTGAAAGAGTATGAAGTATGGTTACTTGCGAGGATCGTCGGAAGCCATGGTGTAAAACAGTATGTACCAGGATTTGGAGGCTTTATTTCTGCTACTGGATCACAGCCACCGAGAAAGTCAACAATAGAGTACCTAACTCCAATCCATGAGCCTTTCACCGAATATTCAGTCATCAAAGAACTTATCAAGAGATCTGAAGAAGCAACCAAAGAAGTAGGTCAGCAGTATGTGATAACTACATTTGACCTTGGTGGAAGTATGAAGGCCCTCCCGCTTATGTGGAAGTTCCCAGATGAATATAAGAATCATGTCTCCCTTATTGGCCCATTCCATACTGGAATGAATCACTTAGGAATGCTAACAGGGAAAAAATGTCGGGGATCTGGATATGCCGAGATACTAATAGAGGCTGGACTTGTAACCACCGGATGTCTAAAGAATGTTCTGAAGGGAAAAGCATACGCAAAAGCATTGTTTTGCCTTAAAACTGTTACTGAAGCAATGGAGCGACTGATGTTTGAGAAGTTTATCGAAGATGAAGAAATAGATGCCGTCAACCCTCTTCTATTTGCTAGCCTTGCCCAAGAATGTAGTCGTGAAAATCTCAACAGGACTTTGGCAGACCCTTCAACAACTGCAATCCTGATGAAGTACGAAAGTTACCAAGACAAAATACGCGCTGGACATCTTGGCAAGACTGCAAAATTTTGGCTCAGTGTTATCGACCAAGCTCATTTAAACTTGATGCTCCAGTACTCGGTTAAGACCAATAACCTACTGCTATTTCACAAATGTAATGCAGAAATGGCCAAATTATTTTTTGCATTTGATGGGCCAAACTACTCAAGGTAGGTTAAGGATATTTTTTAAAGCTTAACTTTACTTATATTTTATAACATGTCTTTATTTTAAGGTATTTGGTTTGGTTTGACGTATTCTTAATCAATATCGAAAAGTCTCACCCTGGGGCCAAGACGTTGCTTGAGAATGGTGGTATTGCTGTGGCGCGATCTATGATCCCTGGAGCCCTAAGTGCAGTTGATAAGACAATGGAAGAAACCTTTATGAAGTTTTCAAAGTCTGCAGGTAGACGATATAAATGCTAATTAAATATATTTTCACAAAATATACAATGAATTATTTCTGAATCCTTTTATAGGGGGATTTTCAGGCCTTTTCTCGATGTTTGGAGCATACCAAAGATGGTGCAGAACAACATCCAGTAGATCTCAGTATTTTGAAAAGATGTTGGAGACATGCGGAATGATCAACGATCCTGACTGCCCAAAGGCCGGGAAGCACAGAGAGTTAGAGAAGTCAGCTATCAGGAAATCTGAGGAAGCCGTTCAGCGAGCAATGGCAGCAATTTATAGTTTTACTAATCCATTTACCGTAGCAGACAATGGAGCACCCATCCCCCCTGATGTAGCTGACGATGTTCTAAGTGCCGATGAAGTTGGCAAGGAAGCCAAAGATTCATTTCTATCTGAGCGCTTTATTGAGGGATCACCTTCTGATCTGTTCTTTGAGCCCATTTCTAGAAGGAATCTTAAATCTATGGAGSCGTCAAACAAGAGCGTCAAGCTTACAAGCTCACAAGGAAAGGTACAGCATGACGTGGTGATCTTATGTTGAATATCTCTTAACCTGTAAATTTTTGGATCTGGTTTTATTATAGGCCCTCCAATACAGGGAACAGAGTGATCTAGCTTTCATGCTCTTGGTAAAATCTCAACTGTTGGAGGAGCCCATCGACTTGGATGAGCTAAKGACATACTCATTAACACCAGTTCCACACAGTCTTGGCACTCCCGATGGTTTCTTGAATAAGACCAATAAAGCTAGTGTTCTCCATTATCTTACCGATGAGTATAATGACGATATAGCCTATCCCTCCAACAAKTGTATATTCATTCAAGATGGCAATGCTCTTTTCCATTCGCTAAATAACCTTCCACCAACATTTGGAGAGGTTTGTCTTCAAATTATAGATCAAATGGTAGCGAAGAGGGATTTTATATTTTCTACAGATAGCTATCACGAGTATTCCATTAAAAGTCAGGAACGATTACGACGAGGCACCTCTCCAAGATACATAGTAGATGGACCTGCTACCAGAAAGCCCGCTGATTTCAAGCTCTTCTTGGTAAACGACTCCAATAAGATACAATTTTGTAAACTACTTCTRCGAGTATGGGGTAGCATTGATGCAGTAAGTCGCCTTGAGAAATGTGGTCTTGGCATTCTTGTTGTGGAGGGAAAAGMCTATCGTTGCGAGTCATTAAATGGCTGTGTGAGTATTCTTGTTTAACTAGGGAGTTATTCTTGAAAATTTTGTTTGTTTATTATTACTGTATTACAGGTTTCGACACATGAAATCCATGAACTAGCCTCAAATCAGGAGGAAACAGACACGCGGGTCATCCTCTACTTGAATTATGCTTCAAAGCTGGGATATGAATCGGCTGTGGTTCGATCTCCCGACACAGATATTTTATGCATACTTATGCACCACGCGGCATCCCTTCATATCACTGTATACCTGGATATCGGAACAGGAAAAMACCGCAAAATGTTAAATGTCAGTGAGCTTGCCGACACCAATGGGAGTTCATTCTGCTCAACCTTACTGGGAATGTACGTATTTACAGGCGAGGATTCCACAAGCGCGTTCAAAGGCAAAGGAAAGGTTGGTCCCCTGAAGAAACTTCAAAAGAATCAAAAGTACCAAAATGCTTTTAGGTGAGTAATTTWACTAAAACGTAATATGTGAACATGCTGTAGTATGATACTGATTTTATTATTTCTAGAAACCTGGGAGAAGAATGGGAAATTGAAGRCCAAACCATAGCAGACATCGAAGCCTTTACATGCCTCATGTATGGTTACCCAAGASAGTCCTCAGTAAACATGGTTAGAAGCATCATGCTAAAGAAAATGGTCGGGGAGAATGAACGATTAACTACCAAGTCAAAAGTAGATATCTCTCGCCTTCCACTATGCCTCATCCCACACCTCCAACGCGTCAACCACAGAGTTGCAAACTACAAAAGGGCAGCTCAACCTATTTTTTGGAAACCATATCCTTTCCATGATGACCAGGGCTGGGAGAAGAATGAGAATGGTATGTTGGAGCCTGTATGGTGCAGAGGCCCAATACTTCCAATCGCACTTGTGGATTTAGTTGAGGTCACAGAAGAAGAACAAGAAGAAGAAAAAGAAGAAGATAGTATCGATTTTGAAGATGGCTTTAGCGATGATGACGAGTAGTGTTGTGTGCTTTTTCATAGATTTCGAGAGAATTCAACCTGACATTTTTGGGTTTCCTGTGCTTCATGTGTAAAGCTCGAAATGGCAGCGACAAARTAGCTCTAAACTCGATCATTAAAGATAAAAGAAAACAAAGATAATTCAAGAAAATAAACTCTTGATAAAATGCTTACTTTGATGAATGTATTAAATGTATTTATTTCAAGGTCAATTTTATCAATTTTTTTCACCATTCAGATGGAAATTATGCTATATTTTCAAACCAATGACTAGAAATCCAATTTAAAAGTTGCTTTAAAGTAACTGAAGATGACTAGATTAAAAAGGTAGGATATTAACATTTTCGTGAAGCTTAAAACGCATTTTTCAAAAAAACAAGAATTGGGTATCCTGTGCTTTTTGTGTCAAAACTTCATCCCCGTTTTTCAAGGTCATGAGACAAGAGTTTGATTTGGGAACATTGATATCCTTAATGTACTCCTTCTAAAGATTATATTTATGTATTTTAGCCGAGTATATCTTTTGGGTGCTCGTGACCCTCTGTTCCGACTAGACTAATGGAAAAGGCATTAAGATCGGAGAGGCAAATATTTCCAAGGAATGGTGGTCTACACACCTCCGCCAACTGATTCATTTAAACCTTGTACATGTTAATTTTAAAATCAATCATTTAAACAATAATGGTGCACATTTTGTCATTGCATCAAGAATTTACTTACTGTCTAAGGAAGGGGAAGTCTACATGAACAATCCAAAAGATATCTATGTTCTTGATCCAAAAGTCAGCTTAAAAAATACGCGAAATTTTAGGAAGCCAGGTGAAGTAACATCAACTAGCAGAAGCAAACAATACATTCCCAAGATCAAGGATATTTTGAGAGACCACAGCAAGTGGTACAAGATAGAGAAAAAAGAAGACTTCGAATACCCTGGATTTTCTAGTAATGGCTTTGGTTACTGTGAAGATATTTACAAAACCACTGAATTTGGATCTTGCAAACGGTCACATTATTTGTGGGATGACTGCCAGTTAACAAAACGGAACACATCAACACAAATATCCGAAGCTGATATAAATGGAAAGAAAGTAAAAGTAAATGTTAGGCGTGCATTTTGTGAGGGAGTAAAAGTATGTGGTACGAAGGGATGCTCCTTCACTGTAAGCAACAGACAGCGTATCAATTAATGTGAAGATCATTCACGGGAGCATCCTCTCATACCATCCGGAAATTGCCCAGTAAGCCTTGTTTACATGTGGCCTGAGGATACGGGTGACGGTAGAAGGTGGATTGAAGGCAGTAAAAGGAGCAATACAGGATGCCGTCAATAGAGATATAACTCTAACAACAAAAGAAATTCAAAAAGGCCAGGGACTTGGTTTTATTCCAGCCCAGCGATCTCCAGCCGCATCCAATGCCAGCGGAATAAGAAGGTAGAGAAAATTAGCAATCTCGCATGCAAGCAAAGTCCCTTCTGAACTTCAACCAATTATGCAACTATTAGAGTTCAAAGGGCTCCGGAAAGAACATGAAATGGTCCAAGACCCTGATGAAAAAGATTTCACAGAAGAAGTAAATAAGAAAATGGGCCAATACCAAATGGATGGAATGGAATATATTCTTACACCCTTTAGAAGCTTTGCATTCTTTATGGCGCCCTACCAAATTGAATTATTCAAAAACGCAAAGGATTTGTTTGTTGACGTAACATACACTGGAAATTCTCATTTCCCTTATCTTTTCAATATTGTCTCCTTTAATGAAATTACTTTAGAGTATAATGCTGTTTCAAGAGTACTATGCAGCAAGCAAGATGGAGAATCGTATGGCACAGCATTTTCGGAAGTGTTTTTAAAAACAAGTCTCAAAAAAATTTCTAAGCTTCAGAAATGGTGAGAACCTTCGACAAATCATGGTAGACTTTGACCAGGCAGAGTACAATGGCTTTAAGGAAACTTTAGGATCAACACTAGCAGAACGATTAATTAGGGGCTGCAGTTTTCATTGGAAACAATCAGTTAATAGAGTAAGTGACATTGTAACATCAACATCAGAAGAACGAGAAGTATTTAGATCATTGGCAAATGGGAATAACAATAATAGAAAGAGAAAAAGATCAAGTTTAGTAGGCAATGCCAATGCCAATGATAATGAACAAACACCACCTGACAAGAGGGCCAAGTTTACGCAATGTAGTGATAAACGAAGAACAGGAAGAAGTCTTATAAACAAAGTTGTCGAGGTAGAGTAACAAGAAGAAATAGATGTCACAATAAAATACCTTGGTTGGTTTAGGGGAACTATCATTGCCTACAATAAAAACACAGGCTATTTAGTAAGATTTGAAACAGACGAAGACTGGATTCCATCAATTAACAGTCCAGATGTAAGATTGGTCAAATGAGTTTAAAAATCAACACAAATATACATTGAAGTTATTATACCAAAGTAAATTATGAATAATTTCCAAAGAACCCTTACAAAGCCTTAAAGAACTTATACCTAAAGTAAAGAAAAAAGGGAAGAAAAAGCCCAGAGGTTTACTCAAAAGTTAACAAATATAATAAACAATTGAAGAAAAATAAAATCCAAATATAATAAACAAATAAAGAGAAATAAAATTTCCACATCAAAGATATCAGGAAATAGTGCAACAGTTATCATCATCTAAAGAAAGATGATGATCCAACAAGAGTACAACTGAGTATCACTAAGAGTCCAATAACTATGTCATCTATAGCAGACCCAACAAGAGTACAACTGAGTATCACTAAGAGTCCAATAACTATGTCATCTATAGCAGACCCAACGAGAGTACAACTGAGTATCACTAAGAGAGTCCAATAACTATGTCATCTATAGCAGACCCAACAAGAGTACAACTGAGTATCACTAAGAGAGTCCAATAACTATGTCATCTATAGCAGACCCAACAAGAGTACAACTGAGTATCACTAAGAGTCAAATAACTATAACATATAGCAGTCCGAACAAAAGTACAGGTGGGTACAACTGAGATTAAAATAACTGTACCGTAAGGTCACTTAAACTTTATATTTCAAGAAAGGATAATGCAGTGAAGATAAAAAATAAATAAAATCTGCATAATTGTAAGCAAATTAAATGTAAATTAGTGTACAAGTTGTTGTTTTTGTTTGTTTGTTTGTTTGTTTGATTTTTGGACTTTTTTATAGTTGTAATCCATCATCTATATCAAGAGGAAAACATGTGCCTTGTCAATGCAGTACCAATTACTAAGTATGTGAAAGATTTTGTTTCAATCAAATGAAACCTTGTGGATGACCCAGCTAAATCCTCTGGACTCTGGTAATTTCCAATGGTAATAAGTATCTTATAGGATCCTTTATATCTAACAGCTTTAACAGTAGTTAAAAATGACACAATCAACTCTAACTTTCAAGTGACACTGTATTTGTAATGATAAATATATTGACAAGTATTAAGCAAAAATGTTAAGAAGAAACTTCAAGGTAACAGCATCCTTGAAGGTATTTTAGTTATTATGCACCTACATGTATCAATGTATTGGGCAGAGCAGGCATAAAGGGCTATTGAAAATTCATTGACATTTTAATCGAGGAGGGTTGGAGCTGTAAACGTTTTAAAATTGCGGAGTTAAAAGGCGAGAATAGATTGCAAAGAAGGTGAAATGATGCCATCATGTGTGAAATGGCTTTGACAAACACAGTTACTGAATGATTAATGGATTTTCATAAAATCTATCATACCCTGTGTTTTTGATAAAGCTGGAACAGTTAAGTCTAATGAAATAGTTTTGAGAAATTTCAGATAGAGTAAAACAACCTCTCCACTCTGTTACAGTTACAATGGGGGGTATTTGACAAATATTGACATGAACATAAGCTTTAAAACCCTGCAAGTTATACCAACAATTTTGAAAAATGTCAGTAGCCCCTGTGTTGCCCACACTCCCCAGTTGGGGCAAGACATTGCTAAGTGTATTAAGTGACGTGTTAAAAAAAATTGAGACAACATCCCTTTGAAATAAGATAATTATGGAGTGTCGACTGGAATTCTTTTGTACAACCCCAACAAAAATGTTAACATGTCGGAAACTATGAGCGTTCCTTTCCCTATCTTGTTCATGTATACTTAAGATACAATAAAATAAAAGTTATGAATTAATACGTTTTCATACAGTTTTAAAAAAATGGAATTGTACTTGCCTTTTTAAAATTGCCATTCGCCATTGCACTGATGTGGGATGATGTGGTCGACGTAAAACACAAGTTTTGGTAACCGCGCAAATTTGCGTTCAACCACAGGCAACCCGAGCCACATATATTTTCAACAACAGGCAACCCAAGCCACATATATTTTTAACATTATGTTATAATAAGTTGTAATACGCTGTTGTGTAGCTCATGTGATTTTAAAACCAAACACGATATTTCGCAGTTAGTTAACGGCAAAATGAGAGCTTACTATTGTTTCTAACACGATATTTCGCCGTTAGTTAACGGCGAAATGAGAGCTTACTATTGTTTCTGACACGATATTTCGCCGTTAGTTAACGGCGAAATGA